ACCGAATGTGACATGCTCACACGGCAGAGTCTGGCAAACTCCCCGTGGTGTACCCAATATGCCACATACCAGTAACAATGATGGGTCTCATTCTCCTAGCCCTGAAAGTGCCTTGAATCTGGCATTTTTAGAATCTCAGGGCTAGAACGAAGGAGACATTACTCGTGCCTGCTCGAGGCAATTGACAAACAACAGGATGATCATGATCGTGAAGACAAGAACAGAAAATCACAAGGGGTAGGGATTAAAGGCATTGGATACATCAGTGATGTAGAGGAAGGGTACAGTTATGTATTCAAACTGAAGAGTCAATAACAGTGAGATCCAAGCCACAAAATCCAGACTTAAAAATAGTTCAGTCAAATGCATCTGGACTTTGCATTAGGCTACCAACACTGGGAAACCCCAGGTGAGAAAAGGTGTTGTCCCTCTACCTATTTCTCCCTGGCAGCCCAATGGCCGCCATCTTCCAGAGCCCACTGGACAGTCAGGTACTGGCCAGAAGTGACGAGACACGTGGGACCTCAAGGGATAGGGGCGGAGCCTGCCCTGCTCCGAGTAGACCTCAAGATGCCCCTCCAGCCACTTCTTAAGCTCCTTAACAGTCATGATCCCAGAGATGCACAAACAAATCTCACAACCCAGCAGCTTTTGGCAGAAATCTCTCCAGACTTAATTATTAAAGTTTCAGAATTCCAAGATCACACGGCCACGATAGCGGCTGTGCAACATCATATGCTATTCATAATCAGCAATAGAAAACAAATTGTGTAATGTTGCCTTTTCGGCAGGTCTGAGTGTTGGAGGAAAATTCCAAATAATAATGGTGGGACTGGTGTTGAAATATTGAATGTAATCAAAGTAGAGAGAGTAATGTGAAAATTATCTGCCACACAGCTAGGGGGAAAGTGTGAGATGCGGGATATACTGGGGTTTTTGGTGGTGGAAAATGTGCACTGTTGAAGGGATGGGTGTTTGATCATATCATTGTATGACTTAAATCTGAAAGCTTGGTAACTGCTCCTATGGTGATTCAATAAATAAATTTATATAAATAAAATTTCTGTCAAAGAGACAGGGTGGGGATTAGGGTGGGAGGTGTGATGGAAGTACTCTGGGGACACTGGTGGAGGGAAGTTGATACTGGTGGTGGGAATGATTCTGGTACATAGTATGCCTAACACTCCATTAACTATAACTTTATGAATCACAGAGCCTTAATAAAAAAGTTATCATTGAGATATAAAAAATGAGGTCTTTCACAGATAAACAAAAGCTGGAGGGCAGAGTCCCTAGACCGGCTTACAGGCTATCTAGAAAGAAATTCTTCCATCTGAAACAAAAGTTAATGGAACAACATTTGAATTTAGATGATAAATAGTCATGCAGAAGCATCAATATTCAACTATTTTAGAATACAGTGGATATAATCATGCTTATATCAAAAAAATTAAGGTCAAAACAATAAAATACAAATTATAATATAATTATAAAGGGGGAATACATTAAATAATATAATAGTCATATGTATATCTTCTCCCAACTTCTAAGCATTAAATATATGAATATATATTAATAAATCTCAGGAAAAAATAATACTTTGGCATATTTCAACACCCTATCAGCAATGAATAAATCATCCAAATTGAAAATAATTGAATTTGAATTAATGAAGTAATCCAGAGTAAAGACAAGCACAGGATATATGTGGTACAGAGTAACGAGATAAGGGAATGCAGTGTTTGAAAGGGAGGATGTATAGATCACCGTTGGCCCCAGAGTATAAGGAGAAGGACAGAGAGGGAAAGAATTTGAGGGAGGAAGAAGAGTTGAATGTAAAGTAATGGATGCTGGGGTGAAGAGAATCTGAAGACATCAATGGTAAAGAAATGGAAGAGCTAAATACCCAAATAACAGAGTCAGGCAACACTGAAAAAAAGAAATCCAAACTTTAACAACCAAATTTAAAAGTGTGCCTGTCTAGGTGGCAGACTGAGGATGGGAGGTGGCGGGTGGCAGGGATCCTGGGAATCCTCGTGAAGGGAAGAAGACGCTGGTGATGGACTTGGTGTTGGAACATAGTATGTCTAAAATTCAACTGTGAATAATTTTGTAAATTATGGTGCCTTAATAAAATAAAAAATAACTAAAGTTTAAACAGAATAATACAGAAAACTTGAATTGGACTGTACTTTACAGCTTTACAAATGGATTAGACAAACATGTAGAGCATTGCATCCAATAGTAACAGAATGCATATTCTCTTTTTAAAATTAAATTTATTTATTTATTATTGAATAACCATGAGATATAGTTACAATGATCAGATTGCAGTCACACAATGTTTCATCCCTCCACCAGTGTACATATCCCACCAGCAACATCACCCATATCCCTCCTGCCACCCCACCCCCTCCCCAGTTTGCTTCTATGGCCAACACGTTTCTTATTTGTTCTCTTTCTCTCTCTCTCTCTCTGTCTCTCTCACTCACTCCCCCCTCTCTCTCCTTTTGGGAATTATGGTTTGCAATACAGGTAATGAGGGGGAAGGCTGGGTGTGGGTGGAAAACTGGGAAAATTGTGGAGGGAAGTTCACACTAGTGTTGGGATTATTTAATGCCTAACACAACTGAATTATGTACAATTTGGTAAATCACGGTGTCATAATAAAACACTTCAAAAATTCTGATAGCAATTTGTAATATCATCCAAAATTATAAAATACTTATGAATAAATTTAACCAAGGAGTACAAAATTAATCACAGAGATTTAATGCTCAATGTATAGAAAACAATATTATAAGTTTATTATGTTACAAATATTATTACAACATTGTAATATGGTAATGTATGAAAGAAATACACCGTACATATTAAACTTACACAGTGTTACACTTCAAGTTTATCTAATAAATTTATGTAGAATGTAATCTAATTATAAAACATAACATCTCTTCACTTTTTAAATTTGAGAAAAATGAAATTGCTTAGAATAGCAATATAAGCTAAGAAATTAAAACACACTTTGGAAGACTATGTCCTTAGATTTCAAGATGTATGAAAGTTAAATAATTTAGATCCTTGACAAGATAGAAAAATCTATCAGTGGACCAAAGTGGACATTTCAGATACAGACTCTTTCACTCTCTCTCTCTCTTTTTCTCTATCACACCACACACATATACACATGCACACGTGTGCACACGTGCTCATTTTTGTGCACACACTACACACAATTAGATTCCACAGGAAGTTACAAAGTAATTCAACTGAAAAAAACCTCTTATTTTCAATAAATGACATTGATATCATGACATTACATAATAGACATGTAAGTGGAAAATATTAACATTGGCCTTTAGCTTATGCAGTACATGAAAATTAGTGCTATGTCATGATATAAATGTGCAGAATAAAACAAGTAAAATTTCAGGGGTAAATATAAGGAAGTATATTTCAAACAGTAGGGCGTTTGCCTTACAAGCGGCCAACATGGCCGACCCAAGTTCGATTCCTCTGCCCCTCTCGGAGAGCCCGGCAAGCTACTGAGAGTATTCAATATGCCAAACACAGTAACAAACATAGATAAGTCACATATTTTCAAAATAAAACCCAAAAGTTATCAGCATACTAGAAAATCATAAATTAGACTTCATTAAATTTTCTTACTCAGCAAAAGACATCAATGAATAACTTAAGTGAAAATAAATTGAAAATATTGGATAAAATATATCTGTCAAAAGGAGTAATTAGGTCCAGAATATACAATAAACTCAGGAAAATGTGAAAATGCAATGAAAATCGACAAACTCTTAAAAGTAGTTCACAAAGAAAGACATCAAAAAGGCTAGTAAGCCTACAAAAAAGCTTCCATGATTATTTTGTCAATAAATAAAAATAAAATTTGTCTCTGAAACTAAAATCACTGAACTAAAATTTGAAATCACATTTTAATTACAGATGAGCTGAATGCCCCTACACCAATAACTTAGCCTCATCATTAGAAATTGGACAACATTAATCCATAAAGATATACAAACACCTATATTCATTGCAGAGCTATCTACTGTGACTAAAATCTGGAAACAAACCAAGTGTTTCCAGATTTGTATCTTAATATACTCTGTAGTATATAAGCATATTAAGAAATTCTGTCTTGGAGGTGAAGAGATAGCTTAGCAGGTAGGGTGCTTGCTTTGCATGTGGTGGATACAATTTAGACGTGGATTAGATTCCTGACATCCTATATGGTCCTCTGAGCACTTCGAGAAGTAATTTCTGAGTACATATCCAGGAAAACCCCTGAGCATGACCACATGAACACCACCCACACCTCCCCCCCCAAAAGAAAAGCAAAAACAAACCAAAAAGAAAAACAAAGAAGAAATTGTTGTTTATGTACATAATACTCAGGTATCTAAGAAGTGATGAAATCTTGCTTATTGCTTCTACTTGGATGGAACTGAGGCTATTACATGAAGTGAAGTAAATCGGAAGCAGAAATACAAATACCAGATGACTGTGGTTACATATAGGGTATAAAGAAACAACATTAGGAAACAGATAATAACCAATAAAAACAAACTCTGAGATACCAACAACAGAGCAGAGAAGGGGGCCATAGTAATAGTACATGAGGTAGGAGATCCCTGAGCCTGCCAGAGGTGAGGGGTGATCCGTGAGCAGCAGCAGGAGTAAGTCCCAAGCACCACCACAGGATGTGGCCTCAAAACCAAAATTAATAAAATAAAACTGCCGAAATGATTAGAGGTCTCGATATACACAAATAAGCAATATACAGTTGATTTATACCATTGATTAAAAAAAAAGATCGCTTTAAGTTGATAGCATTACTGGGCCTGCTGGAGCAAATTGATGAACAACGGGAAGACAGTGTTTGTTTGTTTTTTGTTTGTTTAAGTTGATAAATAAATATCACAGTCACACGGGGATTTGGATGAGTTGGAAACAAACTCTTACTAGAGTGTTTGGATTTCTACCTACTTGTACTGGGAAAGACATTTCCTGGTGAGAATTTTCCCTATCGTGCCCTTCATTTCACTATTCCGCAGGGTATAGATAAGAGGGTTGAGCAGTGGGGTGATAAAAATGTATATCAGTGAGACGAACTGATCTTTCTTGGGGTTAAAGCTGGATTTGGGGCGCAGGTACATGAAAGCACAACAGCCGTACTGCAGCAGGACCACCATGAGGTGGGAGGAGCAGGTGGAGAAGGCCCGGGAGCGGCCTGCAGCTGAGTTGATCTTGAGCACAGCGTTCACGATGAAGGCGTAAGAGGTGGCAATGAGGAAGAAGGGCACGGCGATGGCTAGAGTGGCTGCCACCAGCACCGAGAGCTCATGGATGTGACTGTTGGCACACAGCAGGCACATCAAAGGTGGTATGTCGCAAAAGAAGTGCTGGATCCCTCGAGTCTCACAAAAGGGCAGAGAGAAGATGAAGATGGCCAATTGCAAGGACAAGAACAGGCCTAAGGTCACAGAGGCCACCACCAAGCGGACACAGAGCGTCAAGGTCATGATGAGAGGGTACTGCAAAGGGTGGCAAATGGCAGCGTACCGGTCGTAGGCCATCGCTGCCAAGAGGAAGCAGTCGGCACTGCCAAGGCCGATTAAGAAAGTCATCTGAGTGGCACAGGCCAGTAAGCCGATGGTCCTGTCCGACTGCAGCATATTTGCCATCATGTGAGGCACCACCACGGCCGTGTAGCACACTTCGAGCCCGGAGAGGCAGCCCAGCAAGTAGTACATGGGCGTGTGCAGGCGAGTTTCTGTCCACACGGCCATCATGATGAGGGCATTGCCAGTGAGGAGGAAAATATACACCAGAATGATTCCTAGGAAGGTCAGGACACACAGGTCTCGGTTGGAGGGATAGGACAGGAACACGAATTCCAGCCACAGGGAATGGTTTTCCCAGATCATTGTCTCCACCACGTCTCCCTGTTGAAAGTCACAAAGAACAGCCGGATAGGACTCACGCTTGGGCAGCAAATCTAGCCCAGAGCTGGAATTAGAAAGCAGGAAGATCAAGAATGGTGATGTAGTTTTTATCATAAATCTCTAACTGAATACCTGACTCTACGAATGAAGCCAATTACATGAGACAATTGAGCATAAAGGGCAGAGGAAATTGACAAAATTTAGAAATAAATTATCTTCAGAGTTGCAATGAAAATGAAATTCTCTGAGCTCGCTAGAAAGTGTCAGGATATTTTTTTTTTTAGTTCTTAGGAGCAGGTATTATTTAGGTGAAATAAAAAACTTTCTTCCCTCATCTTCCTTTGCCTCGGTCTTTCTCCTTTGCTTTTATTCGTCTCATGTTTGTTTATGTGCAACATAACCTGAGTATTGACGAGACATAAGCAAACAACACTGAAAATCTGGCGATATGTTTTAAAATGAAGGAAGAAAACAATGCTCATCAGAAAAGAGTTGATAAGAACCTAAAATTGACTGTAAGTTGGATAAGCAACAGAAAATTAAGCCCATGGAGCTCCTGGTTTCTCTACCCATATCCTATCAGAGGTGGGTCTGAATGGCAAGTCTCCCTTTGACTTTGGGAGTACAGGAAAACACTAATGTGCTCATAAGTAATTGGAGATTTAAAGACCAATGTGATCACAAGTCGTTAGAGGTATAAAAACCCTTCCCCTGTGCTTAAAGATAAGCAAGAAAGACAAAGCCAACTCCATTTCTTTTCTTTCTCTTCTAAGGAGCTAAACTGAAATCTTGGAATGTTTGAAATCTACATTCCTTGAAAACTTTCAGGTGAACTGACGTAACACTTAAGCAGTATCCATTCCACTTCAATTACAATCTCACATCAAATTTTAGAAGCCTGGAAAGAGGCAACAGTGACCTCATTTTAACTTGTCTAATTCTAATATTAACCATTATTCATCATGATTCTTGAAGAAAAACCTCAGTTTTAGAAAGAGCATTTTTACTAAGAATAATTCACATAAACCCAGGTGTCACACACATAGGGAGAAATGTGATTAGATATTAAGAACATCACGTCGTAAATGTTAAGAACACTGAAAGCATGAGTAGAACTCTACTGTTTTTCATCAGGTAACAAGTGGTATTCATTTCATTCATTGTTTTCTCCTCTTCTAACTTTCAATATTGCTTTAAATTATTTGTAATGTCACTTATAATAGTCAGTATCTTATTCAAGGGAGCAGTATATTGTCATGAAATTAATTTTTGATATTAAAAATATGGTTTCAATAATCCCACTTCCTGGCTAGTTAGGTAATAAGAAAATATATTTAACAAGTGGGGATAATAATCCTATGTAGTTATCAGGATTGTTGTGAAATGTAAATGAAACTATAACATAAAATTTTATAATTAATAATCCATAGTAAATTAGATTAATAACAGAATCAACATCATTATTATTTGGAAGTTCAAGGACAACAATCCTTCCTTATTATAATTCTAATTTTTTATATTATCAAGTCTAAAATGTATACTTTGGAGCCATTCAGTGAATGCATGTGATCTGGATATATATAACATGAAGAACGTGTTATGTTTATCATGTTTATCATTTTTTAAAAATTTCCTCATTTTATTTTTACTACTGTTTCATAATAAAATCACTTGCTTAAGATTCTTTGCAGAAAACAACTTGTCATCATTAACATTTGGGTTTACTTGTGAAAAAGTTGTGTTTACTTCAGAGACATTACATAGAGATTCTACCATGAAAAATGTCTAAAGATTTTCTACCAGTTTTATTATAAAAGAGCGCTTTGAAATCTATGTGGTAGTAATAACTTCTGAGCATTTTATTCAATCCTACTCTTAATGATGTTCTCTAGGATCTATAACACAATATTTGCAATATAATTTTCTGTGGATCATGGCTTGTTAGTGCCAGAAAGGATCTCAGGAATATTCTGGTTCAGTTACATGGTAGATACTTGATTCTCCCATGCTTTTTCCAAGTATCAGGGGGTCTTAGATGCTTAGGGAAACTCACTGCTTTTTAAGATACTCATACCATTGTGGCATGACATCTTTCTGTAAAATTCTTTTTTGTAGTACCCCCAAACTGCATCTGTATCACTTATGCACACTCAATTTGTTTTCTCTTGTGGGATAATTTCTACATGAAACACTTTAGAAACTAAAGTCATATGCTTTAGTTTTTGTATTCACATCATTTGATTAAATTTTACCATTTTAGCTACACAAATGTTCCCATTTAAAAAACTTACTTTATTATTATTATCATTTTCAAATAACTTATCTTTAAGTATGCTGTGTGAAACAGATACCCAGTGACGTCAATCATAAAATAAAAATGGGTTGTTACAGAGGTGTATTTGTTGTAGTATGCATATTCAATCTAATGAAAATCAGATTAGTTCTCAGATTTCTATTTTATTATCTTGCTATTCTGGACTATTATGTAACTCTCTGAATACTAAAAATGTTAATCACTTTTTTTTCACAAAGCAGAGCATCCTCTATATTATAAAATTGGTTCATTTCTCTTGTCCATGAGATTAACATTAAAATACTTTAAATTGTATTGTCCCATCTTGACTACACTTACTAAACTTAGTCAAAACTATTTTTATTAAGTACTAAAAAGAATAAGAAGAATGCATTCTGTAACCAAAATGACACAGTTGTATTAATAAGAAAGTATTAATGATATAATTTGGCATATATGTATTTATGTACTTAAAAGCAGACATATCATAAAACTTTGATTAAGTGCCGTCATGAAAACAGAATTGTAAATTGTATGACATGGGACATTCCCATAGTTTGTGATTACAAGAGTTTGAAAATTTTCTAGAGGAAGTAAAATTTAAATTTAGATTTAGATTATCACAGGAAAAGAGAGGCAAACAGAATAGTAGAGTTCATATTTTTCATAGGTAAAATAATATTTTATAATGGATATAGTAGAGTAAAATTTATTATAGTAGCTTATCATCATCTTTCTGTTCCAAATTATTACTAAATATGCTGTACAGCGTGGAGGTAGGGAAAGGAGATGTTAGAGTAATCTACAGAAATCAGGCTCTCATTTCCTGAATTCATACCCATCTCATTGCCTCTAAGTCAGTTCTGCCTCATCACACCCTTGTTTTAGCAATAATATTATAAGAAACATTCATACGCATTCCAGAAATCCAGAAAGCAAAGGCTAGAGCAGTTCTCCAGTTATCTAGTTAGCAGTGGACAAAGAAAAGTGTTAATGCATTAGCAATGATAGACAAGACAGAAACTAATAACAAATCTCAATATTATGATCTAATACTAATATAATAAAAATATTATATCATGGAAGATGACTTCATTTCAACATGTTTCCTGAAGTTCAAAGATATAAGCAATATTACTTACCTATTTAGAACAGAGACGAAATGAGATTAATATTTAGAGCACTTTGTTTGATACATGTCCTTTTTAGTTGTGGAACAAATGTCAATTTGTGGAACAAATGTTAACTCTTCCTTCTTTCTACCAGTCTCTTAAGGGAATGATATTAATAATACCTCTGTTTATATGAAAGGGGGAAAAGCCCCCTTAGAGTAAAATATTTTTATTAATCCTTAAACTTTACCAAGTATTGTACTGGTCATTCTCTCAGAAAAACTTTACTTGCAAGTGAACTGAAACACTGTATCTCATGAGCTGAACCAGTTCAGAAATTCTGGTTCTCTATGTATAAAGTCATTACTTGCTTTTCTAATCTAGGGTCCATTGGTACGTGATGTTCTGTAAATCTAGGAGGTAGAGAATGATGTTCTCTTAATAGCAAGGAAGAAGGTAAAGGAGAACACAGCACCAGTTTTCTCAGTTATACATCCACAACAGAACCTAGAAGATGATGTCTCTTAGATAGAGACAGAGTCCATGAGTCTGGGGAGACTGCCCAGTGGGACTGAAGCTTTATGTAACCTTCCTAAACAAATAGCATGGAAGGAGTAAATTGCTTTGCAATCTAGGGCCTTGCTCTCTAAATTCTGCCTCCCAGAAGATAGTGCAGTTACTTATGGTAGCTCTCCTCCCCTGCTACCAGTTGGTTAGTCTAAGCTTAAACGGTTTCTACATTTGAAACCCCCATCAATGAGGCTCTGGTGAATGCTGGTTAAAGTGTAGATCAGATTTAAATCCTTATGAACATTCTGAGTGTCCAAAATAATTTCCTGAGACAAGCAAAGTTTTCTTTTTCAAAGAGTATAATCACTTCTACCAGATTTTCGTGCTAAGTTCACTGGAAGTCCTAAATATTTATGTTCCTGGAAAGTTGAGACCATGTTTTATATTTATTTTTGGTTCAGTAGATCCTAGTATGGTGCGGTTCACTTAGAAGATTCAATGAATATTTTTAGATGTTTCAGTTTTGAGGCTTACAGGACCATGAAGGATTCATTCCTACTAGCTTCTAGCTTCTTCCTGACCCTGTTCAGTGATCTTGTTTCTCTTGCAGTTACTTCTTTCTAAGATTCTTCTTACCACAAGGACTTTTAATTTCCTGTCCACTCTTTGGAATGAGCTTTGCCTTTTCCCTTAATCAAACTATCTCCTATTTATCCTTCATCCATGCTATCTGAACTTCTTCAGGAAAGATTTATCTGACTTTAAACTTTCATGCTCAAATGTTCTTTTAAAATGTTCTCTTTGGAATCTTTTTTTTTTTCTTTTTGAGTCACACAGTGATGCTCAGGGGTTACTTCTGGCTCTGCGCTAAGAAATTACTCCTGGCGGTACTGGGGGGACCATATGGACCATATGGGATGCTGGGGATCGAACCTGGATCTGCGGCGTGCAAGGCAAATGCCCTCCCTGCTGTACTATCGCTCTGGCCCTCTCTTTGGAATCTTGTTACCCTTCCCTCACTGTAACTATAACTTCCATTTTACATTCACTTTTACTCTGTTTGATTA